GGTGCCTTTGACCCCTCTGAGCCCTTCAAGAAAGGCCGAGGAGATACAAGTGGGTCATCTGCCATCTGGCCCTCCCCCGTGTCCCGGAGCTGCGTGGGCCCCTGTCACTGCCCCCCCTTCCCTTCCCTCCTCCCCCAGGGTCTGGTGACCTCTCCTCTCTTTCTGGAGCCCCTGGGGCTTGAAGCACCCCCTATGAGGTGTCTCCATACCTCTCCCCGGGTGCCACCAGCGGCCTGCATTTCCTGCACCCCCATTCCCAGCTCCAAGGAATAACACCCCCTTCTCCCCTCCCCCAGGGCTGGGACAGGCTGGCAGAATGGGGGGGGGAAGGGGGGACAGAAGCCAGGAAGCCCAGCCAGACAGAGCTGCCTAGATTGGAGTCCATGACTCACTTAGTTCCCTCCACCCCCCCACCCCCAGACTTCAGTCTAGCCTGGGATCCCACTTGAGAAGATCAAACACTTCTCTGAGAGGGAAGATTTCATTCCGGGTCATTCGTTTGGAGCCTCTCTGGTGACCTTTCAAGGATTTGTTCCCATTGCCTGTCGGGCTTGAAGTCAGGGCCTGGATGCTGTCCCTGAGCTTTTGTTGTTGTTGTTTTGCTTAAGGCTGGTGCTTACACCATTTGAACCACAGCTCCACTTCTGCTTTTTTGGTGGTGAATTAGAGATAGTTTCACAGGACTTTCCTGCCTGGGCTGGCTTAGAACTGTGATCCTCAGATCTCAGCCTTCTGCGTAGCTAGGATGACAGTGGCAATTCACTGGCGCCCTGCTGATTTTGTTTTTTTTTTTCTTTTTCATTAGAAACTGTCTTTGTGGATTTCACCCACAAGCCTTAACTAAATTCCTGGTTTCTTTCTTTTCTTTTGCCTGATCTTTCCACTCTGTAGAACTCTAGACTTATCCCGATCACTGCCAGATCTATTACCCCCCCCCCCCCAGTAACACACAGAAAACTTCCCAGGCCCCAGACTTGAATGAACACTGGATCTCTCAGCCAGGCCTTAACCCCCAATTTCCTCTTTCCCCTCAGGGTAACCTCACCCTTTAGATCTTTTTATGAGGGGTCTGACACTTTCACTCATTGGCTAGCGCTCTACCAGCTGAGCCACGCCTCCAATCCCAGCCCTTTAGATCTCTTCCTTTGACCTCTGAACTCATCTTACTCCTTTCTGCAGGTGAATAAGTACATATGAAGTGTTCTCCCCATTGCCCCCCCCCCAGCTCCAGTCTTGTGGTTTTTCTAAGCTGCTCACTATTCCCCACTCTTCCAGGCTTAGTTAAAATGCCTTGGTGTCAGGCTGGGCACCTGTGGCTCACGCCTGCAATCCTAGCTACTCAGGAGGCTGAGATCTGAGGATCGTGATTCAAAGCCAGCCCAGGCAGGAAAGTCTGTGAGACTATTATCTCCAATGAACCACCAGAAAACCAGAAGAAGGGCTGTGGCTCAAGTGGTAGAGCCCTTGCCTTGAGCTGAAGAGCTCAGGGATGGCACCCAGGCCCAGAGTTCAAGCCCCATGACTGACAAAAAAAAAAGAAAGAAAGAAAATGCCTTGTTGTCTTGGGACTTGGGGTTAGCACCAGGCATGGACTGTGTGTAACTCAGTCCACAGCTGCCACCAATGGCCATCCTAAGTTATGGCCTCCCCTAGCCATAGTTGATTCCAACTGCAAGAGGCTTCCTGCCACTTGCAAGTGTGAAAACTCCTGATTGTGCTGAAGCCCCCAAGCACAGCAAAGCAGCGAGGTCCCTGGGGAGCACAGCAGGTTCTGCAAAGAGCAATCAGAACGAACTCTGTGTGGATCTCCACCTGACAAGGCCACCTAGGTGGGAAAGTCCTTGACAGCCAGGCGCTGGTGGCTCACACCTGTAATCTCAGCTACTCAGAAGGCTGAGATCTGAGGGAAGCCCCCTCCCCCTCTCTCCTCCAAGGTGTGAGGTTCTTGGTACTTCCTCTGTCTTTTGGGAACATGAGCCCCTCCTACAGAGAACTACTTTCCCTTCCTGGACCAGCAATCCTGGACCTTAGAGAGGAGTCGGGGGAAGGCTCAGGATGTGGCTTAGTGGTACAGTGCTTGCATCGCATGCATGAAGCCCTGGGTTCGAGTCCTCAGTATCACATACACAGAAAAAGCCAGAAGTGGCGTTGTGGCTCAAGTGGTAGAGTGCTAGCCTTGAAATAAAGAAGTTCAGAGGCAGTGCCCAAGCCCTGAGTTCCAGCCCCAAGTCTGGCAAAATAATGGATAGTGGAGGGTGACTCTGAATTCCAGAGTGACAGAAAGGCTCAAATGAACCTGAGTTTTGGTCCCCACCAAATGTGGATCACATTAATCTCTGTACTATCCACCAAGCAGTTCAGGAAAGACAAGCCTTCTTCCCACTCTCATAATAATTGGGAACCTGGGGCTTCTAGGCTTCAAAATCTCTCTGAACTTGACCCTGGCATTACCCACTCCACACTTCCCCTTGCTCCCCTTCCAAGCACTGGGAAGGTATTCATTTCCTGTGAGTCCTGCTGTGAGTGCAGCTTTCTCTTCCTTTCCTTCTTTTTCTTTTTGATGCTGTTTCTGAGGCTTGTACATAGGGCCTGAGTACTGTCCCTGAACTTTTTTGCTCAAGGCTAGCACTTAGATGTGGAGCTGGCTTTTTTTGGGGGGGGGTGGTGGAATGGGGTGGGGTGTTGTTAATTAAAGATAAGAGTCTGGGCACGTTTCAAACTGTGATCCTCAGATCTCAGCTTCTTGAGTAGATAGGATTACAGGCCTGAGCCTGTAAAACCAACTCTCAGTTTATTTGTAAAAATGATCATCTATGAAGGCAAGGGTCTTGCCCATTTGATCCCCTTCCCTAGGAAAGATTAATGGAGAGGAAAGGGGGGAGAGCTCCAACTAAAGGCCTCCTCTTTGCCAAGTCCACTCCTACCTCCTCCCTGCATGTTCGTTCCTTCCCCTGCCATTCAACAGCTGTTTATTTAACTTTGATTACATGCCATGCACTGTGCAGGGTACTGAGTGGTGACTAAGCGCAGGGCCTGGCCTCAGGAAGCTGGAGGTGTGGGAGAGTGTGTGTGTATGTGGGGGTGGGAGTGGGGGGGATAGGAGGAGAGAATGTCAAGTAAACAGTTTCAAGTATCCATGATCAGCCCTGTTGTGGGAGAGACTCAGGACACACTAGAGATCCACAAGACCAGATGACTTTTATTTTTTTGGTCATGGGCCTTGAACTCTGGGCCTGAGCGCTGTCCCTCAGCTCTTCAGCTCAAGACTAGCACTCTACCACTTGAGCTACATTTCCACTTCCGGTTTTCTGGTGATTTATTGGAGATAAGAGTTTCACGGGCTTTCCTGCCCGGGCTGGCTTTGAACCGTGATCCTCAGATCTCAGCCTCCTGAGTAGCTAGGATTACAAGCGTGAGCTACCGGCACCCGGCTCAGAAGACTTTTCTTTTTTTTGGGGGGGGAGGGGTCCAGTCATGGGGCCTGAACCCTGGGCCTGGGCGCTGTCCCTCAGCTCAAGGCTAGCGCTCTACCACTTGAGCCACAGCACCACTTTCGGCTTTTTCCTTTTTGCTTATGTGGTGCTGAGGAATCGAACCCAGGGCCTCAGGCATGCAAGGCAAGCGCTCTACCACTGAGCCACCTTCCTAGCCCTCAGAAGACTTCTAATAGAAGACTTCCTATAGAAGCAGCCAAAAAAAAAAAAAAAATACCAGGGCAAAGCCAAGTACTGGTGCTCATGCCTCTAATCCAAGCTACTCAGGAGGCTGTGATCTGAGGATTGTAGTTCAAAGCCAGCCCAGGCAGGAAAGTTTGTGAGTGTCTTCTCGCCAATGAATCACTAAATAAAGCCGGAAGGGGAGTTGGGTAAATGCTCAGGGACAACAGGCCGAGTTCAACCCCCAGGATGGGCGCATGCACACGCCCACACCCCCCCACACCCCCTCCACACACAGAGCAAAGAAGGGGTGGAATGGGAGGTTGAGCCCCTCGTTTCTAGACAAAATAGTCTCAGAAGAGGGAAAATCATTATTTCTGGGGTTTGCCAATCGATTCTAGGGACAAAGTGGTGACTTATTTCCCCATAGAGAGTTTGAGCTTTGTTGGATTCTGGCACTTGGTGGTGAGGGAACATTGGTAAACTGGCTTTCCACCGGGTTTGCCTGTCGGAAATTGATTCTGGCTGCAGTACTTGTGGAAGGATGCCTAGAATCCAGCCAAGGGACTGCCACTTCTCAGCTGTGTATGTGCCCCCGGGGCAAATCACTTCCCAGGGTCCTCATCTGTAGAGCACAGATAGAAGTGGTGAGCATCAAGATGGAGATTTATATCGAACACGTAGAACAGAAGGTCACCAAGGGCAGGAAAGAGCCCTAAAGCTGCCCCTGCCCTGCCCTGAGTCTCTCTCTCTCTCTCTTCCCTTCTTGGCTCCTGTGTGGTCTGAGAAACAGTCTCCACCATTGTTTACCAGGAAAGATCACACAGAGAAAGCTAACAGACCAGGAAGCCAGTTGGGTGGGTCAGGGTTGAAGCATGGGTATGTTCTTGGCATTAGAGGAGGTACCAGGGTAGAGGCCACGGCTGGGAGTGGGGCAGGGAAGGGAAAGCAGCTGGGATTGGGCTAGCTGCCCCCCCTCCACACCTCACCCCAGCTGCTCCTTAGAACTGGTCCTACCATGCCTGCCACCCTAGACTCCAACATGACTGGGCCAAAATGAGGACAAGGGGCCTGGTTCTGTTGGCTCACACCTGTCATCCTAAGCAACTCAGGAGGCTGAGATCTGATCAGGATAGAGTTTCGAAACCATCCCGGGCTGGAAAGTAGCCTTGAGCAAAAGAGCTTAAGGACTGTGCCCCGGCAGGGAAGGATGCCAAGGAAGGAAGATGGTCAGCCCGGGGTGGTGGAGAGGCCAGCAGGCTGTGTTAACTCTTACCTGGAAATCCTTACCACCACTGAGCCCCATCCCTGTTTTTGTTTGTTTGTTTTTAAGGACAGGCGAAGCCAGTCACCATCCTGAGCTCCTACCCGCCCAGGGATGGAGGCCCTGGGTCCCGGAGGCCTGGGTTCTGGAGGCGATCGCGCCTCCCCGGCCTCATCCACTGGAAGCCTAGACTTCGGGCAGCTCTCCACGCGTGCCGACTCGGCCTACAGCTCTTTCTCCACCGCCTCTGGTGACCCTGAGCCGCGCACCCCGTCCCCGGCCACCGATCTCCTTCCTTGCCTGGACTGGGGCTCCGTGCGCGTGGCGTGGGGCGGCTCGGCCCCCGTCACTCCGGACCCCACCGTGCGCCCACCCCGATCCCGGCCAGCCGTGGCCACGCGCGGTGGGCCGCGCCGGTCCCCGGAGACACGGGGACCCCCGGGGACGTTCAGCAGACAGGCCACCCCAATGCTGTGCGCGCTGGCTGCCGAAGCCGAAGCCCAAGCTCGGGCGCAGGCCGCGGAGCCGCCCAGCCCTCCAGCCTCGCGGGCCGCCTACCGGCAGCGACTGC